CACAGTCCATATTTTTTAACGTTATACAAAAATTGAAGTTTTTGAAAATATTATAATTGAGTACGCTTAAAAATTTCAAAAATCTGAATTCGAATAATTATTGTATTAAAGAATTAGGAATAAAAGGGGGAGAGTATGCTCGATGTATCAGACGGCACAATACTATAGTAAAGTTAATTACCAGAAGTTAAATCATTATTGAGTTGATTACGTCTTATTTTAAAATCACAATGCAAAACTATGTAATTTAATTAATTAATTTTGAGTATAATATATTTGTTATACAATTTAAAGCTTCAACAGCAATATGATTATCATTCGGTTATTTACAGTTATTTACATTATTTTTTTTTCTTAATTTCTAAATTAATTTGCATGGTTCCGTCTATTTAAAAAAATGTATCAGTTTAGTGGTTAATTAAATTTTAACTCAGGGTTTTGCATAATAAAATATATATTTTTTTGTAAATATATTTTAGACATGACGTATTGTTTTCTTTTCTTCCCTGGTGTATAATATTATACAACGTATTGATATATTCAACCACGAATATTATGTTATGCAATAAATATTTCTACTGACAATTATTAAATTTTTTGAATGAAAATAATGTTTTTTTTGTTACTTTAACTTCCTGACCAAATTAACAAAAAATATCTACCGTCTTAAACTGAAACGCGTATAATCATAACAAATTATTATAAACGGGATACAAATATTATTTTATAACCATGTGTAACCGCGTACATTCTATTTCATTATACCTAGTAATGTCAAACTATTTCGTGTGATTTTAACATTGCCGTATTTCATCCACATTCTAGGTAGAATTAAGCCCAGACGATATTTTGTCAGGTGTTAGTAGGTGCGTTTTTTTTATATAGCAGCCGAACAGTCCCTGATTATGAATATTAGCTTGCAGTAACGAGCCCGAAATATATGTGCTCTTTATTATGAGGTACCTATAAGTACAGTGTTAAAATACATTTAATAATTTAAATTCATTTTATTTTTAGTACAATGTATTACTGTGTAAGGAGGTACTTCAGTGTAAGAATTCAATTTTAATTAAAAAAAAAAAAACCGTTTTATTTAAATTACATTTTGTTTATACATTTATTAAGACATAATATCGATGTATTTATATCAACTATAACATTGTGTGTATATGAATAAATAAATAATTACTGTTTAAATACTTTGAATTTTAAAATTTTATATAATTTATATCAACAGTATAGATACATACAAAATATAATATGTTGTATTAATACCGCTATAGATTGTTACTATTTAGTCTTAACTCTAAAAAAGTAATTAATTAATATTTTTAAAATTTTAATTAGAAAAAAAAATATTATATTATTTATATAAACAATTAACTTCTAGTTATTGAGCGTTTCCAACGTGTAGGTAGGTAATATTAAAATTATTATCGACTGATATATCTGAGAAGATAGATACAAGTAAAGATATATATTCTATACATTTTTAAAAATGAATCAATTTTTTTTATGGACGATCTTTTGTATTTATTTTTGTTTAATAAAATCTCATAATGTAGGGATTCTAACTAATGAAAATATTTTAAAGTAATAATAATGCTTGAGAAAGTTATTGTTTAGCATAGTTTTATACGATTTAATATAGGCAACAATTTGAAAATTGCATTCTTTTTTACTCATACTTAATTGCACGATGTTTTATTTAAATGCTGTAAAAAAATACTTTACTAAAAAATATAATTAAAACTTAGAAATAATATCTTCAAGGTAATATAAATTATTTAATGTACAATTCATTTTATTTGATCTTATTCAAAATAGGACTCACGCCGATGTGATGGCAGTGCACATAACATATTCTCAAATTGTGTACAAACTGTACAACATACAATATTTGAGTTCAGCAGAACCAATTTTATATTTTTAAATTGGTATAGTTTTAATGCTACGGTAAATTGATAGCTATTATCAAACTTAAATGTAAGCCATTATCTGTGTTTATAAGTTGGTTATATTTGGTGGTTTTTTTTTAAGCGGGTTATGAGTATATTAAATTGTAATATTTTCACATAATATATAAGCAGTGCATAACTCACTTAAAAATATATGTATATATATCATTATAATATTTTATATAGGGTAATTATTTCAACAGTAAACATTCATTATATGAAAAAGGACCAACGTTTTTGTAAATATTTACTTTTACGTAATTTGAAGTCATTAAAAAACAATATTTTTATCATTATACTTTTAAAGTTTTTATTTTTTGAATGAAAACTGGCATCTGTACTTTCATATTCCAAACCAAAATATATTTTTGAGAATTTAAGCTTGGTATTACAGGTTTAATATAAAAGTTGAATTTCGAATAAGTATAATATTAATTTATAATACGTGTCGATGGGCAAGCTGGTAGACCACCATTTAGCAGGATACCGATGTGTCACCCCACTCATCAAAACTTTAAATGCTATTAATAAGTATTAAGATTAACTAATAAAATATTCGTTGGAAATTCACTTTTTACATTAAATAAAAATTCTCAGAAAAATATTTTGCTTTATGAAATTGAAGTTTTAAGTTGACTTTCAAAATAAAGTAAGAACTTAAACATTTTTAACGATAAAAGCACTAAATAAACAATTTTCTTAAAAATTATATTTTATGATAATTTTAGATAATATATTAACAAAATAATCATTCAAGACATTAATAATATTCGATATAATGAGTGCTTGCTGTCAAAAGAATCGATAAGTAAATAATATAATTTCATAATCGATATTAAAGATACCTATAGGTATTATTATAGATATTGTAATGAAGACTGCATAGACATTCGGTTTTTCGAAAGCCGTGCGATAAACTCATGAAATTATTTGTAATGTTTAAAATATTATCAATAAGTTATGAATATTGTATAGGTATTATTTATAGGTGTGCATGAAAAAAATTAGTTTGTTAAGGATTACGTCTGATACTCTGATAAGCATTAGATGTCTTCAACAAATGCTTTAAAAACGTATGCGTCTGATAATAAATTATTTCGTGTGCGAGGGCGAGAAAACGATAATGTAGAATAATAATATGGTAGGTATTATAATATATTATACTATGTATGGCCGACGAGTGTAATTTTCCACAGATTAAAACATTGCTTATTACTTATTAGGTTTTTCGAAATAGCAATGCTGCAACGAGATATATTACGATGATCAATCGTGACTAAACAATAGTTCTATAAAGTAGGGAATTTAAAATTAGCTTAAATAAATTATTCATTTTTGTATACCATGTATGATATTATCGTTTTATAATTTTTACTATTTCAAGGGTAAATCATATGTCAACCTCAATGATGGGTACCAATGATCATTTAGCGACTTTAGACTTAAATATGATAGTGCTTGTGCCATCGTTAAAAGCCCAAATAATGTGTAAAAATGTTAAGGATCGGATGAAAGAGACCCTTAGGTCGAAAAAAGAAATCGAAAAATTTAATAAAAATCGTTTTAAATTTTCCGAAGCTCTGGCGAATCGGGAGCTAGCGCGCTCACAAACAAACACGCACAAACACAAGCACACAAACACACCGAGACAAACAAACAAACACATTTGATCCCGGCTAGCTGTACGGCCGCTGCCGCCGGAATTGATAACTGGCCGGGCGAAAGAGGCGGCGTCGCGGTTGCGCAGTGCGTGCCGGCGAGCGGCGGTGGCCGCCCCTGCGAGAGGCGGCGGCGGTGACAAACGCGGCGCCAGCGGCGGTCGGCTCTATCGTCTAGTTCGGTCCCGTCGACACAACTCGTCCGCGCGGTCCGTCCGTCTCGCGCTCGTCACGTCAAGATCACGCACACCACGCACATACGTGTAAATTAACACCGGCACCGCCGTGGGCCGCAGGTAATAATGATGATTATAACAGTAATAATAACATAATTAAAATTATATCATTTAACGACAATTAACACGAAATCCTAACAATGTAATATACGAAAACACAACACAATAATATTATTACACGAAAACAAATTTTCCACCAACGCCGGTTTCCCATTTTCCGCATGGCTCTCGGACCGTCGTCCTCTCACCGGCCGCCGATCGCCGCGCCACCATCCTGCTCGGTCTCTTCGTGCGTCCACTGCCGGTCCCTTTTTATAAGACACCGAACAAAATTATGATCTACCGAGACACTTATATTACGAGCATAGGTGTCACTATTTCAAAATACCCACGTTTAATACGTCTAGAGCACTTTTTTCCATTTTTAATTTACGATTTTGGACCCATAGTACGGGCAAAACCTTGTGAGAATTATAGGTATCTGCAACAAATGAGAAAAACGAAAAAAACCCGTAGGTGATCGAAATATTTAGTTCTCTGCGAATGAATTTTCTCTGTCTTCCGAAAATAAAAAAAGCGAATGTCGGAATCGGGCGCTGTTGTTGTTACAAGTGTCTCAATTATTTACTTAAACGGCACAATAATAATAATATTACATATCACAGCTACACAATAATAATACAACACACACTCGGAACAAAACATTATATTATTAGATGTACCTACCTACTATACCTAGTTTATAAGTTGACACGAAACGTCATCATATATTATTATTATTATTATTATTATCATATGTCATAATAATATTTTAATATAATAATAATATAATAATGTATTCGTGCAGTGCATAGTAATATAATAGACGATGCATACACAATATCATAGTCGTCGCACGCGCACTGTACGGATATTATCCTAATGATGATTGTAATAATAATATATTATATTATATTATGGCAGCATAGAGCGGTGCGCCGCGGTAACACAATATAATAATAACACAATATTACATTATTATACCACAATACCGTATTGTATGTGTAGTGTGTACCTACATAATAATATAATAATATAATAATGTATAATACGCGTGTGTAGTGGGCAACAGCGGCGGCGGCGGCACCGGTCGGTCGGGCCCCGTCAGACGCCAGTTGGTAGTGGAAATATAGCGAGCGCGCACGTCCGCCGCTGCTCTCGGCGTCGACGTCCGCGAAACACGAGACCCCCTCAAGCGCCGGCATCAGGTGCCGTTTTTCTCGGTGTTTTTTCCGACGCGTTTTACTCCCCCGAAATCCGTTTTTCGCCGTAGGTACGGCACTGTGGGGCCGTAAACGCCAACCGAAAGTCACTATCGGCACCCCCCAGCCCCGTATCGGCCCTTCGAACCCGGCGGAGGTTGAAAAATAATTCGCGGAGAGAGGACACGACGACGGTCAGGACGATTCGTATAATATAATATCTGTGATCACACGACGTAACAATATCACTATATTATTATTGTTATTGTTGTTGTTGTTGTCGTTGCACCGTCGCGTTAGGTCGGAGAGAGAACGAATTTTTGTTTTCAAAACCTCCCCACCGCGACGATCGACGATTGACCGGCCGCCGAAGATGCACTCCGACAATCGTCCGGCCGCCGTGACCGCCGTGGTTTTCCACCGCACGTCCGCTGCACCGCTACGAATCGCGTCCGCCGGAAAACGTCGGACCATGTAATTATCGTAAGTGTTGACCCTGCACATGCACATACCTATTACTGTTGTACGTGTGTATGCATAATACATACCGAAAGTGCATTCCTTTATAATAATAATAATAATAATAATAATGTAATTAATTACACATATTATTTTGCATCACTTTTGTATCGTTATATTAATATTGTTCGATTATATTGTATGCATACTATCCGTTGCGCGTAACACCTGAATATTAAAAATAATTAATAATATCACATAGTGTCCAATACAACGCTGGTGGGTAGGCACTAGGCAGGTAGGTACACGTATATTTCGCAATCATTTTTCGTGTTTTTCCGCGGCAATAGCGCCGGCGGAAAAACTGTAGGTACCAATAAACTTTAACGACTATAGCGATAGCGTGATGTTTTTCGAAATTTATTATTTTGTGGCGTGTTTAATTTCTCCGGAGGAGTGAATCTCGTGTAGATCATGATACCGCTCCTATATACAAATAATACCATATTCCGTTATGGCGACTCCATTAAAACAACGACGATAATCTTTTAACAATATGACATAAACCTCGCGTACGAAGACTTCCCCGTCCGGTCGAGGGGTAAATACCTGCATTTAAATATTATACGAATTCGAATAGCTGCGCGGTAACCCTTACGACCGTAGAGCAGTTATTTAAGCACTTACATGTGTCCCGGCGGTGTAAGGTCACTTAAATTCCATATTATATATTTACACTCCATACGCGATTTCCCGTGTTAAACCGTTGGAGAGAGTCACACACATTGTATTATAAAATATATTATAGAGACCGAACTCGCTCACGTAATCCAAGTTTATTGCAACTGCAGTCGATCGGAATCGTACCCGAAACATAAAAACTACCTACTAATAATGTCCATGTTGTTATCGTTGTGCTTCCATAGCTTCTCGACAATTTTTATAATTTTCATGCCAACGTTCGAATTTTGAGCAATAATAAGTGGCAATGAGCATTGGTGGTCGGACGATGTCATGTTTCTAGTTTTTTTTTTTTTTTTAATCAAGTATGTTCTATAAGTGGACATTTTTACACGGTACGGAGAAATGTACAGCACAATATATATAATTTCGCTTTAATTCAGAAAAAATAATTCTAGAAATTTTGAATTCCCACCAAATATTTACCATTAGAATGTTCATACATTATGGGTAGGTATAGATATGCTCCGTTCTATAATATTCTACAAATTCAAGACATTTATAAAACTGATCACTTTTCCAGTTTTGATTTTATCGTACAATATTCTCAATTGCACAAGTGACAAACACATTGAATTAAATACAGTATAGGCGGTTGGTACTTACATTTTTCAAATTATAATTGTAAAAAAATTGACATTTAACATTGTACCTACCTATTTATTTTTCGATCGTTTCAAACGAACTTTTCTGCATTGTGCACACACATTACACATAGAGCTCGGGACAGTTTGTCGATTTTGTTTCCCCCTACCTCTATATTTGTCTGATGAGACAAAAATATGGCTAATAATTTCGAATCTCATTATATAAACGGGAAACAGTGAGATAACTCCAGCCGAATGCAAGAAATCGATTTCCCACGACTTTGTAATCGTTTTGTCGGTGGTTGGGATATCGACGATCTTTGGCCCTTTGATGATTATTATTGTTATAGACTTAGTTAAACTTAAGTTACAAATGAAGAAGTTGTATTGTTACATTTTCGTACCCATCGCCTCGCCACTTTGCTCCGCGCCTTGCATATTTAAATAATGATACGATGTCGGGTACCTATACTACCTACCTAGCTATTAAGTATTGTATTATTATTATTATTGTTATTTTATAATCATGTGGCCTCCACCGACGACGACAGACTTTTGTTTTGACGCGTTACAGTCGATTATTTATTTCAATAATAACAATATTGTAATAATCGACTGGAAAAATATTGTGTGCGCGTACCTCGATGTATACCTATACATATTATACCTACTTACAGTACACCGCACGCCGTCGGTTGTTCTGTACCAATAATAATAATAATAATGATAATAATAATAATAATAATAATAATAATGACGTCGTGACGTGTCCACTTTTATTTTCTGGTTTTTATTCTCTCTCCTTCTCCGTCTATCTACTTCAAATTTTATTATTTCGACGTTACCTACCTCCTTACATGGATCAACGACCGCTCATCTAGACTACACTGACCTAACCTAACCAACCATTCCGTGACCACACACCAAAAATGTGTGCGCACTCCAGGCAGGCAGACACGTATTACACTATATTATACCTATACATGCCAACATGCCAAGCTGTCGAAATACTACAATAATAATAATAATATTATTATTAACTGCTCGTCAGGTACGAGCAAAAAACTGCAACCGTCACCATCACCGTCACCGATTGCTGTATCTTTACCTTTGTCAAGGATATAATAATATTATTTTCATCACAACACAAAATCATGATATTATTGAAAATTGAAATTTTATAGCATACACGATGAAGTTCGAATAGATTTCTGCGCAATCGCAGGTTTTGAAGCACTAAAAATATTACTATATTGTCATCAAAATGTGATTTGATTTATATAATGTTAAACTATTTTTATTTTGATATTTATTGAGAGTATAATATACGACATGAACTATCATCGAGACTATCATTGTTTTATTACAATAGTTAAATTCTGTTTTCGCAACATCGAATTGTAACCATAAAATTGTTTGTTTAATTCGTTTTACATGATGAATCTCGGTATCTATCTTTAGCACACATCATTAACATCTAAGTCTATAACGTTTTGCACATTTTTTTTGTTACTACAAAATATAATTATAAAATAAAGTAATGCAATATAAAACTAGTAGGTTAACGTTGACTTCAATATTCATCTATATATTTCGAGCTGCACTACAATTTACAAACTATATGACTTATATAAAAATGTGCCTACGTTGAAATATCACAAACATGACTTATCTTCTGGTATGTAGAGAACTTGTTCGTACTTAACTCACTTATAATGTTATCCAGCCGACGACTCGCGCGCACCGATATTAGTCTTCTATTATAGAATGTCGTAATAGGCATCAACCCGTTCCGAATGATAAAATATTTGTTTAACTATCAAACTTTTAATTGGGTTTCATTTTTTGTTGTTCGTTTAACAGTTCTTTGTTGCATTATACATTGAAATAGATCTAATTGCTCGTCTTCTATAATTTCGAGTATGGCTTACCACAAATAATCGCAATGTATACATTTATTCTCAATACCATATTTTTCAAAATTTCTTAAACAGATTATAATGTTACGTTATGTCTTACAATACATTTTAATTACATATTCAGTCGATTCGGTTTTACGTGTTACCCCTAAAATTGGGGGGCAATCTTCACTCCTTATTGCCCACGTTCCCTTTTCGCTCAACAATTATTTTACCCTATTTGCACAGGTTCTCTTTTCGTTAACGAGAAAAAATTTTAAAATTAGGTAAACACTAACTAAAAAGTTTATTGTTATTATTAATGGTGATCATTATTATGATTTCATATGAATTTGCAACCAAAAGAAAATTATTAGAAAATATTTACTTTACTGTACCCAAATTATTGTCAAATATAGTCGCAATATGATTTCAAATATTTTTCTACAATCAGCTTTCATCTACCTTTTGGGATTCAATAATAACGAATAATATCTGAAAATTGAAACGTATCCGTTTTCTAGTAACTAAAGAGTTTTCTTTGTAGTAATTCTCAATGATTTTTTTCTGTTCTTTAAATCAAATATTAATATTTAACTATTGTTATGAGATGCGACAGCAATACCTACTAAATACTTCAATCATTTTTTTATCTAAGTAGTTCCCAAGATATGTTTAATAAATCGTTATTCAATTATATATTCTACAAGTATTTTATAATTAGAATTTAGAAGTATACTAAATCACAATGATAATATTTATTTGATTTTTTTTGAAAAGGGGGGAAGAAAGAGAAAACATGGGCAAATGGGAAACGTCATTTTTGAGCGAAAGGTGTTACGCCCAAATGTAGGATGTATTTATTGAATATATTACTATAACTATATTTAAGTTTCTGAATTATTATCCACATATTTGCATTAAAATGTTTCTCTAGCTGCAACTTTGTGGTACGGTAATACCGTTAAAAATAATTTTCTGTAATATAATTTCTAAAATGTATGTATTCGTTTATTTAAAAACATTTTTTGTTTTATTTACAAAGTTGAATAATATAATTGCTTACAGTATAAAAATTACAGAATAGTGATTTGCGGCAAATTAAATTGTGCTTGCTCTTTACGCTTAACATAATATATGTGATGAACTAATTAATATTTTCAGGTGTTTAAAATAAAATAAACTTCGTATAAATTTGAAAAAAAATATAGAATTATTCGAGAACTTTACCTGCATAAAATGTATAATATGTTTACTTAACAATTAGTTTTATTTTTTACAAAACGGTGAAAAAGTAAAATGTTGCATGTGTTCATCAAAACTATTAAAAATATTAATCATTCATACTTCGTAGTTATTGTCCACTATTGATTAAACTCTTATTATACTAAACAATAAATATAATTATAACACAATAATATAGAACAAATTTGTTATTTGCATGACGTATTTTCAGTTAGATTCCTCCAACAGGTAAACATTTTGATTCAGTTTTTATAGGATCACATTATTGTTTTTAATATTTATAATTATTTAAAGGTTATTTTGTCTCATAAAATAATTCAGTTTTATTAAGAAAATTAATTAGTTTATTTATTCAAAAATATTTTGTAGGTTATAATTGTGTAATTTTAACTTACATTAGATATTTTTAAGACTTCATAAAAATTCAAATAATACTTAAATGTATGACTAACTAAAACAAGATGACAGGCCAAATGATATGTTTTTTTTTATTATTGTATAATATGAAAGTTAAGTATCTAAGATCTGATCATATTATTCTGATAAAGTCAAA